TATCAAGGAATTTTCTGACCTTTTATCTGTAGTAACTGTGATGTCAGACCGGATATTGGTTCTGGGGGACTTGAACATTCACATATGTTGCCCCTATAAGCCTATGGTCAGTGAATTAAACCATTTGCTGGATTCATTTGATTTTACTCAGCATGTAAATGGCCCTAATCATGAGCATGGACATACTCTTGATCTTGTTTTATCTCATGGTTTTAATGTAGACAATGTGACAATTTTTGAAACTGCATTTTCTGACCACATGCCTGTTATGTTCAGTTCTCTGATAGCTTCACATCCTATGGCTATTAGAACTTCAGAACAACCTTCTAGAAAGTTAGGCCCCACTACAGCTACTCAGTTTGCACTTGCTTATACAAATTTTTCATCTAGTGATCTTCACTTCAGTATTGAAGACCTAACTGCTTCTTTTCAATCTCACTGTAGAACTGTGCCTGATTCAGTTGCCCCTCTGAGAGTTAGACATCCTAAGTTTAAATCTCAACCTTGGCTGAATGACTCTATTAGGACAGCTAGGAAAGAGTGTAGGATGGCTGAGTGTAAATGGAAGAAGGATAGGCTGCAAGTGTCATTTGAGATTCTCAAATCATGTTTGATTAGATTTCAAGAAATGGTCAGATCTGCAACAGCAGAATACTTTTCAGAAATGATCTCAAAAAACCAGCATAAGCCAAAATATCTGTTTAATACAGTAAATTCAGTACTAAATCTTCTTCCATGCTATGGCCCAGAAGTGTCTCTAAATAACAGTAAAGCTTTTCTGGATTTCCTTGTGGCCAGGGTTGAAAAGGCTAGATCTAATATCTCAATTTCTGTGATTAAGCCTTTTGCATTTCAGCCAGGTATTCCAACACTTTTCCAATACATCTGCTATGGATATTCTTCCATCTTCATTTCTAAAGGATGTTTTTGACACAATTGGACTTGATGTTTTATTAATTATAAATGCAAGTTTAGCATCTGGTGCAGTTCCTGCGTGTTTTAAGCATGCAGTTGTTCAGCCCCTCCTAAAAAAAAGCATAATCTGGATGTAGGGGGTTCTAAGTAACTACCCGCCTATATCAAAACTATAATTTTTGGCTAAAGTTCTTGAAAAAGTTGTTTTTACTCAACTTGAATCTTTTATATACAACAACAAAAAAGACTTTTCAATCGGGTTTTAGGGCATTTCACAGTACTGAGTCTGCTCTTTTAAAAATGACTAATAATCTTTTTCTTAATGCTGATTCTGGTGATTGTTCTGTCCTGGTCTTGCTGGACTTGAGTGCTGCATTTGACACTGTTGATCATGATATACACATTGAGCGTTTGGAACATTGTGTTGGGTTCAAGAGTTTGGATCTAAATTGGTTTCTCTCTTATATTAAACATAGAACCTTTTCTGTTAACATTGGGAGATACTTCTTTTCATCTGTGGCCATAACATCTGGGGTTCCACAAGGGTCCATTTTAGGCCCTGTGCTTTTTTTGTTATACCAAATTATCCATAAACATAACATCTCATTTCACTGTTACGCAGATGATTTACAACTATATTTACCTTTAAACCTTGGAAATGTATGTATCAGTGTATCATGGATGTTAAGAATCGGATGACCCAGAGCTTTCTTCAGCTGAATGATAGTAAAACAGAGGTTATTTTTGTTTGGTCCCCCCACAGTAACCAAGAGCTTGAAAGAAAATCTGGGTTTCTTTAACCCCTTTTATAAAAACAGAAGTTAAAAACCTTGGGGTCGTTTTTGATACTGAATTAAAATTTGATAAGCAAATAAATGCAATGGTCAAGGCTAGTTTCTTCCAGCTTAGGACAGTCTCCAGGTTAAAATAATTTCTTAATGCTTCAGATCTGGAAAATGTCATTCATGCCTTTGTGACATCTAGATTGGATTACTGTAATGCACTATTTTTTGGAATTAACGAAGCATCTCTGGCTTGTTTACAGCTAGTTCAAAATGCTGCAGCCAGAATGTTAACTGGTATGAAGAAAAGAGAGCACATTACTCCAGTTTTAGCATCCTTACATTGGCTCCCAGTGCATTACAGAATCCAATATAAAATGGCATTGATGGTTTTTATAGCTTTGAATGGTCAGGCACCTGTATATGTTGAGGACATGCTTTGTATATATGCGCCCTCAAGATCTTTAAGGTCTGCGTCTCAATCACTTAACTGTTCCTCGGTCTTGTCTTAACAAAAGGGGATCGTGCTTTTGCTGTTGCTGCACCAAGACTTTGGAATGGTCTTCCAAGTGACATCAGGCATGCTTCATCTGTGACTGTTTTTAAAACAAACAAAGCTTAAAACACATTTTTACCAATTAGCATTCAGCAGTCGTTGAACTGTGTCTGTACACTGTTGTGTGAATGTATGGTAATGGTGTTCGGAAGGTGGGAATCTTTTTTGTTTTACTGTACAGCACTTTGGTTTTAAAGGTGCTATATAAATAAAATTTACTTACTTACTTATCCAACCGAAGACTGGTGCATGAGAGGCTAGGTTGGGAGCAGCAATATCGACGTTCTTGGGGCCAGCCAGACTTCTCAGATTCAGAAGGATGGTGGTTTGGGGATTTTGAAGCTGTGTGATGCTAACTATAAATATGCTAAACATACTAACTACAAATACTGTATGTTTCAAAATACCATAACAGTTTGAATCATTCCTTTGAAACTTGCACAACCAAGAAAACAAACAAAACAAATCATGTAGGTATATTTCATAAAAGATGCATTGCAAATATGCATTTAGGTTTACATACTCAGTTGAGCTCTAAGGTATACCTAAAAGAAAAAGATTACATGGTTAGGATTAACAAGATACTAATATTCTGTATTTCTATTGTTTACTGATAGAACAAGATACATGTTCTGAGGAATTAACTAAGTAACATAGAATTAATATCACTTACACACAATATGATGTTTAAAAATTGTACAGTCAATATGAATATCAATTCCCTCAACCTGGGATAGAATGGCTGTGCAATGGTGTGGCATGTCTTATTCCATCCACTTGGTGGGTCTATGGGTCCATGTCTGAAATATCAATAAATGCAAAAAATAGATTATTTCGCAATAAAATGTTGCAGTCTTGGTGTTTTCTTGCAGCAAACCAGGATAAGTGGTCAAAATATGAAGTTAAGTTTTACAAATTTGATTTTCAACACTGCACAAAGAAGTGGCAAATTTAAATGCAAACATACAAATACATTGATATTTTGCCTATTACATTTTAATTTCAATTTTGATACTGATACTGGTTGTGATCTTAGACTCAGAGCTCTGTTTTATCCTGCATGTAAGCACAGTCACTAAAGTAGCTTTTTATCATTTGAGAAATATCGCTAAAGTTCATCCTTTTCTATCTCAGAGTGACACAGAGAAACTTGTTCATTCATTTGTTACAAGCAGAGTTGATCACTGTAATGCTGTTCTTACTGGATTTCCTAAGAAAACTATACATCCCTGCGCTCTGCCCCCAACCCACATGCGGCTCTCTCGCCGCCATCCCCACCGGGGTTCGTTGCCACTCGATGTTCAGGCCCCACCTTCCAGCAGGCTCTCGCCGTCACCACTGGGGCCCGGGGGGGTGGGCGCACGCCACATACCCCCATCGACCCAAAAACCCCCTGGGGAAAGACCCAGCACAGGGTGGGAGGGCGGGAGAACAAAGTCGCTGCCTGGGCAAGGACTCCACGAGCGGACGGTCGTGAGTCTTGGAGGCCGGCATGTCAGGGAAGGCTGTGCCAGCAGGAGACACAACCAAGATCACACTGACTTCTCCGACGGCAGGCGGGGCCTCCGTGACTTCTCCGGCGGCAGACAGGGAATGGGAGGGGAAGGGAGGTGGGTTCCAAGAACTCTCAGAACAGGGATGGAAAGGTAGAGAAGGGAAGCTCCAAGCACCCTCGGAGCAGGAAGGGGAGGGGGAAGAAAGGCTCCGGTCTTCTTTGGAGCTCCTGCCCCCATGCACACCGAGGGTTGCCGCTCCGCCAGCAAGCTCCTGACCATCTGACAGGTCTCTACCTGCTACTTCTCAAGCTGCTTCCAGTGCTTTTCAGTGTCCTGGAAGACAGCCTGCAGCTCCCGCCAGCCAGGTGCAGGTGGACCAGATTCTTGACGGCCTCCTCTTCCACCACGGAGACTGTGTTCGTGTTCTCCTCCTGGGTTTTGGCACCACTTTAGCACGGCATGTGCTACCCCGTGCTCAAGGAGGATGCTGGAGGCAGGGTTCAGGGTTGCAACAGCCATATTTTACTTCACCCAAATAAACACAAAGCAAACCCAACACAACCAACTAAGCTGGCCACTTTTCAGGCCTTGTTAAAGTAAGCTTTTCAGCTCTGTCTTTCGTCTTTCATTGTTGCTGCTTCTTGTCCCTCTCTCTCGCTTTGTTCTCTCTCAACTATTTAAAAAGGCACTCATGCTGCCAGCCAGATCAGCATCAGCTGGCTCTTATCAAGGGCAGCATGACCGAGAGCTCGCTGCTCTGCCTCCCTGTCACCGCCCCCAGCTGGCAGCTCAGCCACCCGGGTCAAAAGTGAGGTGTAGTGAAGCGGCCTTGCTGCGTAACAGGGGGCGGGGCTTGGGCGGCGCATGCCACATAATAATAATAAAAAAAAATAAAAAATACAACAACGTCGTATTTTGATGTGTCAACCGCTTATTTATTTCAATTCCTAAACAATGTAACATTAGCCTGGCTCAGAAGCTATAACGCTATTGGTGTATGTTTATGGTAGCAGCGAGAGAATTATTTTTTTGCTCCTATTTTACACTCTCTAGAGAAATTGTACACTTTGCTTTACACCTGATTCTGAGTACCTCTTAAAGTCTGATATGCTATTATGCTAATAATAGCTAATTTATTAATTTAAACCCTTCTAAAACTGTGTTCTTATAGGAAATTATGGCCATGTGAGGGACCCTCCCAGAAAAATAATTGAAAAACGGGAATTGTTTGTAATTACTGTATTTCCACAGCGGACTCTCCAAAAAACCTCACTTTTGACCCCTGCAATAACTACAGTGTGCTTAATAACGAATGGAGAAGAACAGACGTGGAGTTCTACACCAACTATGGTGGCTTTGATGACACCCTTCTTGAATGGAGTGGCTGGTATCGTCTGTATCTTCAAGGAAAAAGCGCTCAGATTCCTGAATCTGATTGGTGTTGGAGTTATATGACCTGTGGTGGATACACACCACTTTTGCTTGGAGGATCTCATCCTCAACCACAGGATGGCATCGTCACCCGAGAAATCTATGGTTCCAATGGCTTTGTGACTGATAGCTCACAATGCAGTTCCCAAAGATCAAACCCAATCCAAGTCAAAGCCTGCCCAGGAAAATACTACGTCTACCGCCTTGTCAAGCCAGCTGTATCACTTCCAATGCCCACATACTGTGCAGGTAAAATTCTGCTTTTTCAATGCTGTTTTTTGACAATAACTGTATAAGGCTAATTTTACTTGCTGCAGTTTTGAGCATGATGTCATATGACTGTTGTGACTGGTTACATAGAATAAGTTGTCCTCCTACTGTTGTGCTCAACTATGTGTATATGTGACGAAGCAGACTCAGGAACTTGAGAAGGATCCATATGCGGATTTATTGACAAAATGGGCAGTCCAAAACTAAAAGGCAAAGCAAAAAGGGTCATAACAGGGAAATTAGTCCAAAAAGCCAGGCAGACAGAGCAAAAGGGGAAAAGGCAAAAGCAGAATCCAATAGATCAGATCAGAGGTTCAAAATACTAGCAAGACAGACAAAAAAAAACACTCAGTAGTCAGACACAAAGGAACTGGCAATACTGTGCACTGACAGGCTGAATGGGAGGAGTATTTAAGTGTGACTAATTAGGAGATGAGGTACAGGTGGTTGATTTGGGAACAGGGCTAGTACTCGGGAGAGTGAGACCTCTGGTGGCCAAACAGTGAATTGCTGACAGTATATTGATCTTTTCATGTTTTTTTGTGAACATGAAACAAATAGGCAAATCAAAATTGTACTTGTATCACTGTATCTTGATTACTGAAAAGCCAGAAATTCAAATTATAAAAATAACCTTACATAGGATTTCACCTTTCCAACAAGTCAGTTCCTTTGCCCTGCTGGGGTTGCATCAGTCAACTGTAAATGATCCGACTATGAAACGGAAATGTCTGGGAGTGAGAGCAGCTCAGTTGCAAAGCAGTAGGCCACACCTCCTCACAGAACAGATCCATCAGGTGCTGAAGTTCGTATAATGTAAAAATTGTCCTCAACTGTGACACTCACTACTCACATGAGTTGTAAATTGCTTCATTAGCACAGGAACTGTTTGTTTAGAGCTGCATGGATTAGGCTTTGATGGTTGAGCATCTGCACACGAGCTGTCTGATGGTTGAATCTGGAAATGGTGGATGCCCGGAGAATGCTACCTGCCTGAGTGCCAACAGTAAAGTCTGGCTGAAAAATAAATAAATAAAATAAAATAAATAAAATAAATAATAATAATAATAATAATAATAATAGCCTGGAGCTTTTTAATGGTTTTGACTGAATGCCTTAGATACATGGAAAGGAAGTTATAATGTCACAATATATTGAACAGGAGTGATTTGCCAAGTTTGGTGTGGAAGAATTTGATTGCACAGAGCCATGACCTTAAACTGCTAGGCTTATTACATACTGTAGTTACTTATTCAGTAACTATAGGGACTTCATTGCCCACTGGCTGAGCTATTCTTAGGTTATATAAGTGCGTAATAAAACAGGCCCTGGCCATTTGAGGGGTTAACTCAAATGAACACTTTCATGATGAACTGGAATTTGGCCTTGTCAAAAGAGTAGAGATTGTTATAGAAGCAAATTAATTCACATAGTTTTGGAATAACATGTTCCATTAGCACATGCAATGTCCACATACCATTGGCCATTTAGTGTATGTACTGCTCAACGTTGTTTGAGTAATGGATTAAAATGTACTTTCTATCCATCACTAAATCCAAAGGAATTCATACAACAGGCAAAGAAAAGGATGAACTGCAGTGAAAAAAAGAAGAAAAAGTGAATCTATCCATTTTTGGCCTCTCTTGCATGACATTCATCACAAATCATGATTTAAAACATGCAGCTTGGCGGTATAACATGACTATCAATTGTGTTTTTGGTTATTATAACAAAGAGTCAATTTGGGGTAACATTTTTTTAAATAAATAATAAGTAAATGTAAAAAAGTAAATGCTAACATATCTTTTCATGACAGTTGTTTTTGAGGCTCCCAATTATGATCCGTGCAATAACTATACTGCTCTGGATCAACCCTGGAGAGACACTAATGAGACTGGACTGTGGATCTGTGACAGTGACTTCAACTGGAATGGCTGGTATCGGCTGCTGTATAACGGGATGAGTGTCCGTATGGCAGAGAGCTGTGTTAATGAATACAGATGTGGTACTTATGTCACTTTGTTCCTGAATGGATCTCACCCTCAGATAGAGGATGGAATAGTCACTCGTGCAGTCTGTGGGAATGTAGGCTGGGAGGACTGCTGTTATCTTAGATCTACTCCAATTCGAGTCAAAGCATGTCCAGGAAACTATTATGTCTATGAGTTTGTCAAGCCATACTTCTGCAGTGCAGCTTACTGTGCAGGTACTATTTTTTTTAGCTTTTGCCTGTGTTTTTAAAAGGTTTTGCTAATAATGATTAGGCCTTCAAATCTGTTGTAATATATTCTTTTTTCAGATGTGAACACCATTGATCCCAACACCACCCTGAACTCTACACCCAGTGTTGCAGCATCAAGTATTAACACTAGTAAGTGTCCTATGGCTCTTTTAGTATCTTAGCTTCTCGCAATTCTCTTGTCTAAACTAAGATTAATGGATTTAATACTCTTCCAAATTAGTATATACTACAGGGTGGTAAAGCTGATTTTCACAGGTGAACCTGTAGTGACAAGGATGTCACACATCTTCTGAGAGAAAATCCAGTTGACACTTGTTCATAATAAGTCAAAATACTTTATTTAGTGACAAAAATAAATTGTAACATAACACAATATAATGCCACAAAGGATTTCTCCGCTGTTTATGGAAACTTAAAAATGTTCAATGAAAACATGAACCTATAATATTTTTTTTAAATAATTTGCAAACATTCAGTTTGTTTAGAACATTAGTCAGTGTACATGTGCTGTTAATGTTTTTACTACAATGCAAGTTGAACTGATGCAAAAATGGCCAATTACTGAAATTATTCAAAATAAGAAGGCTTGGTTTAAAACAACAACAACAACAACAACAAACAGAAAACACAAAAATGCACTGGCTTTAAATGAAACGTCAGCCTATGGAAATAAAGCCGAGACAAATGCAGGTATTATAAAGGAAAATAAGCCAGGCTTTATTAACAAAAATATCGAATCAAACTATATACACAAAATAAAAGTCAATAACATCAATGAAAAAGAAGTAAGGAAAAACAAAGAGATGAAGATGGACAAGGAGATTAGATGGACAAGGATATGAAACTTCATATCATTACTGTCCAAAGAAAAACATGTATCAGTTGAGCAAGACAACTGCCCTTCACATTGTGTGAAAATTTCATGATGAATGAACCATTAGATATAATGCTCCAAAATGGCTTGGAATAAAATCTTTTAAACTTATATTGAAAGTAAATGAAGTTTTTGCCTTCTCCTGTAAACTACACATTTTTGAGATATTGCTTTTTTTTGGACAGCAATGATATGTATGTACGATACTCTACTGGCATGTACTCAAGGTGGCTGTAGCCATAATCACATAATGCTTGCAAAAGACAGCTTGGACCCCACTGATTGTTGCTTGCAGCTATATTTATGATTAATTTTGCTGTGATTGGTGCTATATCTTTTGATAACCTGTGAGTCACTCTGGCAACTTTCTTACTTTGGCTGATTTTTATTTATTTTATCACCTATGATATGCAAGCTTAAAGATGTGTTTGCTTGTTGGGTAGTTGAATTTGAAATATTGTAAGCTCTGAGTTTTGAGAGATCCCTATGTAATTTCTAGAAAATTTGTACTTATTGAAAATAGTGCTCTTAATTCAAAGTGGTTTATAATGATTTTATTTTCAAATTTGGCCTGATTCAAACCCAAGCAGGAAACCTCAGTCAAATATTGAGGGCAAATTATACAGTATAATGAATATTCTCCCAGTCTGTACGTGAGGGTGATGCTGCAGTCATTTCTTAGTGGATTACGTCTTATAAAAAAAGGAAAGTTGTTCATGCATCACGTTATTAAATGCACAGAATAAAGTCTTATTACTGTTTAAAATATTTAATAGTTAGTGCTGATGGGTTACTAAGATTAAGAATATTTTTCACTGAAAGTGCACAAGATCTTATTGGTAGTTTCTTTGCTAAGCTACATAATATAATTATGTAATTTTTGTAATTTTTAACCAAAAGTTTATGCTGACTACCTGTCCATACACACACACACACACACACACACACACACACACACACACAGACATGTATATACATTTATATATCGCTGTTGTTGGAAGAAAACCTGGTAACACTTTCTATGAATGTCACCTTTGTAAGCATCTGTAAACACATTCATAACATGTTATAATGCATTCATAAGACATTATAAACATAGCTATAAATATTTATAAAACTGCATTATACATTATAGCCATGTTTATTATGCATTATGAATTGTTAACATAATGCATTATAAGTACTGATCATAACAAATTATAAGAGCTCATAAGTTGTATTTGTCCGCTCTAAGTAAAGTGAAGCGTACTGTACTAAAGCCTCCTCCAGTGTTAAGAGTGAGGCTTCAGGTTGAAGTATTTACTGAAGGATTTACTGAAACACTAAAACATACACAGTAAAGCACATTACAGGCTTCAAATGTCAGAGTTTAAACTAGTGCTGCATCAGTGTTTTACCCAATGTGGGAAAGTCAATGTACACCACCGTTAGCTTGATATTTGTCTTTACTTTACACTCTCCAAGCTGGGACTGACTTCTTTGGCACTGACATTATAACATGTTATTAACATTATTTATAATGTTATAGTAACAATTCATAATGTATAATAAACATGGCTATAAAGTGTAATTCAGTGTAATTCTTTTTATAAATATTTATAACCATGTTTATAATGCCTTATGAATACATTATAACATGTTATAAATGTGTTTATAGACGCTTACAAAGGTGACATTCATAGAAAGTGTTACCGAAAACCTCTTATCTCCAAAATGGTAACTTTACAGGAGAAGGAAAAACATACTTTACTTTTAATGTAAGTCAATGGAACCAGACTTTCTTTTAGTCCATTCATCACATTCATCATGAAATTTACAATGTTAAGAGTAAATGTCAATGTCAAAAACTGAAATCGTCAAAAATGGAGATAAAGTTTTCTTCCAACAACAGCAACATATATATACATATGTATATATATATATATATATATATATATATATATATATATACACATTACTTATTGACTGTTATCTGTTTCTCCTTAGCATCCAGTGTATTTAAGTTATGAAGTCTTATTTGGTTTACCCTGCATTTCTGAGCCTGTTCATATAGTTTTTGACTTTTTTTATGAGTTTGGATTTGTGTCTTTTGACATTAAACTTTGTGCGACAACCATTCTGACAATATTAATAAATAGATTATTTATTGTTAGTTAGTAACTTATCTATAATGACTGTGTTTCCACAGCAGACACATCAAAAAACCTCACTTTTGACCCCTGCAATGTCTCCAGTGTTCTTGATGATTACTGGAGATCAGTTGACACTAGTGACCGTGGTCATGATGACACTCTTCTTGAATGGAATGGCTGGTATCAGCTGTATATTGAGGGAAGAAGGGCTCAGATTCCTGAACCTGAATGGTTTTGGAGTTTGGATTCTTGTGGTGGTTACACACCACTTTTCCTTGGAGGATCTCATCCTCGACCAGAGGATGGCATCGTCACCAGAGACATCTATGGAACATATGTGACTGATAGCAGTCAGTGCAATTTCTACAAATCAAACCCAATTCAAGTCAAAGCCTGCCCAGGAAATTATTACGTCTACAAACTCGTCAAGCCAGCTGTATCACTTCCAATGCCCACATACTGTGCAGGTAAAGTCTGCTTTTATAATGTTTTTGACAATAATTATGTAATTATTATGATTGTTATCATAAGGCTAATTTTGCTTGCTGCAGTTTTGAGCACCGTGTTATATGAGTGTTCAGACATTTACATTTACATTTATGTGGTTACATAGAACCAGTTGTCTTCCTCTGTTGTGTTGAACTATGTATGTACTCAACTCAAGTCATAATTTGCACTGTGGGATATTAAAACGTGACAGGAAATTCAGAAACACACCAGCAAATTCAGAAAAAACTCTAGCAAATACAGAAACACTACAGAAAACACGGAAACACTACAGCGAATTCTGATAAACAGCAGTAAATTCAAAAATGCTACAGCAAATTCAGAAACACTCCAATAAATTCAGAAATGCAAATAAAGTAGTCAAAGAAAGGGCCCCAAGCTCCCTCAAATTCAACCTATGATCCAGTTCTAAAGTACTGTATCCTTTCTAGTTTTAAGGCAGAAACAGCAAGCTGAATGGGGAGACAGATTTCCACTCTCTTGATATTACTCTTTTAGGCCATTCGTAGGCCAAGAACCTGTTGTTTGCATCTGGGCAAATTGAAGGAAGCATCTGAACAACCAAAAACAGCCAGACTCACATCAGGGGAAATCTATCATACACCTTCGAAATATATATATATATATATATATATATATTTTGTATATATATATATATATATATATATATATATATATATATATATATATATATATATTTTCCCAAAAGCTATATACATGAGAAGAGAACAAGCGACTGCATGTGCTTTCAGAGCCACTCATCTAAGAAAATGCTCAGGTGTAAATAATTGCATTAACTGCCCAATGGAAATGCTGAAAGACAGACAGACCAGGTTGATTTTTTTGCAGGTGAACCTTAGCTATGTGATGTGCTTTAAAACTCCAAATTAAGTATCAAGGTATAGAAATCTAGAGAGAAACATTTTTGCTGCATTAACTCATCCCATCATAGACAGGGCGAAGATCTCCAGCCTTTGAAGCCTCCTTTCACTTTATTGAGTGTCTTGGCAAACTTAAGTTTAAATCTGTATCCTGGGTTTCTGGTTACATTCACACTTAAATACATGAAACTATCAGAATTTACTTTAAAAGAAAACCCAGAATCATGCTGCATGAACATATATTTTTCCCAGTTAACTGAATATGCAGGATACCCACCAAAAAGTGTAAAAATGTGTAAAAATAAATGCTAGAAGTAGAGGTAGGCAGGACGAGGTGTAAGACAGAAACCCAATCACATCTTCTGCATACAATGACAATTTGCTCTCCACACTGCCAAAACTGATTCCTTTAATGATGTAATGATCTCTGATATAGCCAAAGGTTCTAATACCAGTTTCAACATGAAAGAACTTAAGCAACATCCTTGTCTTGTAACACGATATAAGGGGAAACATTCAGATATTTCGTGTTTGGTCAGTATAGAAGACTTAGCAGCCAAATACAACACTTTGGTAAAAGACAGAGGGTTCCAATCCTTCATGAAGTTTACTATACAGTATATGAAGTAAGCCATGAACATTCACAAAAAAATGCCAGTAATAAAGCATGTTTAGTCAGAATGTATGAAAGATTATACATGTTCACTCAATCTCTTAGCCATTACAATTGCATTTACTCTTGGTTACAGTTGAGCAGACTTACTTTACCCAGCAGGATCAGTTCTAGTCTTGTAGGGCCAGACATGATCTCGTAATGAGAATCCACACCTGGGGACAACCCATTTAACTTTTGGTGCTGAATATTGCCTAAATCTGCCACAAACAAGGGAATGCCCCCTCTAATCCCCTCTCCAAATTCCTCTAGTGTGTCAGTGTTCGGAGTATAAAGGATAACACAGGCAAAACAAGATACTGTAGCTAATTTAACACTAACATTAGCTTATGTTCAGTCTTCATAATAAATCGGAATCATAATCAATTTATTTTGTTAAGTATGTTAAACATATAAGGACTTTGTCTTGGTGCATCCACACTTGCATGACATCTAATCATGTAACAAACTAAAAAGACCAGACAAGCTAACAGACTGTTACCAATTATTTAGATATTTAATTATGTTAATAATGAATGCTTGCCTTTATTAATGGTTATTCATATTTGAAGGAGTTCTTTATTAATGTATACACTTCATTATCTCATGATGCGTTAAGTATTAATTCATGCATTAATTTATTGTAATGAAAACATGAGTTAAGTATTAATACATGCTTATTTGTGGACCAGTATTATAAAGTGTTACCACTAAGGTGAGGAGGTAACGCGCTAACACATCACAAGTCAAATATAATAGTTACCTTACGCATATTAACTTACACAAAGGTAACATATTTGATTAAAAAAAACAAAAAAAAAAAACAATAGAACATACAAATGCAATAAAATTACTCTGATATGTACCTTACGGTCTTGTGCAGTCCACCCAACTTGTAATTGCTCTGTAAAAGTTATGGAATTTTTAAAATAAATTCTCAACAACACATCTGCCAACACTTCATCTTGCGATCATCAGCTAAGTGTAAAAAGACAACCTTACATCTCTTGCTTATTGGAAGGTTATATGTACCAGATGGTAAATAAAATGAAACACCATTCGGCTGATTGTTCATAGATGGAGGTCTGGAGAATACATGTCCTGCTTTTTCTTTGCTGTGTTAAAAAGCACACAGATCTAACAGAACTGCATTAGGTATATATATTTGTTTGCATTCACTGCGAGTTTAGCATTTTTTACTTATGTACAAAGTAAAAGATTGCATTAAGTCTTATCTAGTTATCTCATAAATTCATGTATCATCTAGAATACCGAGTTTACCAGCTTTAAATATGACTGTGTCAGCCATTCCAGCACAATTTACAAATAGGAAAAAGGTATTTCCCAGTTTCAGACACCACTTGAAAGCAGCATAAGTCACAACAAAATCCTTATTGTCAGCCGCATGTCAGTATTTTCATTGTGTATATTCACTATAGTCACCATATGCTGAAACTCAAATAATTCACCTTTTCTATAGTCTCAGGATGCACATTTGGACCAGCCAAACAAACTGAAATGTGTTTTTTAGCATATCCACCTATGTAGCGTGAAGTTGCAAGAAAAAAATATTGAAAATGAACAGTTTTGGACAAAAGAAATCTGACTAAAGTAATATGAAGTAATATATAGACTGGAAAAAGTATGTGATGTTTTGAATATTGCCACTCATAGACCCTCCTGTAGTACCATATTTTTCATATCATTATATTTTTGCAGTGTGCATGGTTGTGTCAGTCACTGGGGAGCCCACACCCTCAACCAATTTAGAAATGTACATCCAGTGGGCCTCATTTCTTTCTTTTGCCTAGACATTTGATTAAGTGTATAGTTAATTTATTGTTACAAATGGACTATCCAAACATAACTGTTACCTGTAAGCATTAAGCAGATTAAGGAATTCACTGGCAAATTTTGGTTATTTAAGAAGAAATAAATAAAGAGATAAACAATATTACAACATTAACTTTTCTACAATTGATATTTTAAACTGCTTTCTTAACAGTTGATTACAATGCTCTCAGTTATGATCCCTGCAATAACTACACTGCTCTGGATCAACCCTGGAGAGGCACTAATGAGACTGGACTGTGGATCTGTGATGACAACTTCAAAAGGGATGGCTGGTATCGGCTGCTGTATAACGGGATGAGTGTCCGTATGCCAGAGAGCTGTGTTAATGAATCCAGATGTGGTACTTATATCACTCTGTGGCTGAATGGTTCTCACCCTCAGATAGAGGATGGAATAGTCACTCGTAGAGTGTGTGGGAATGGATGGGATGAGGACTGCTGTTCTTACAGATCCTACCCAATTCGAGTCAAAGCATGCCCAGGAAATTATTACGTCTATGAGTTTACCAGGCCAATCTACTGCTATGCAGGTTACTGTGCAGGTACTCTGTTGGTTTTTGAGCTTTGTTTTTTAAGGAGTTTTGCTAATAATTATTAGGCCTTCATATTATTTTATTACGTCCTTATTTCAGATGTGAACACCATCACTCCAAACAACACACTAACGTCTGTGACCAGTGATGCAACATCAAGTATAAACACTAGTAAGTTTCTCTCATTATTTTTTCTTCTGAATAATTTTATTCAAAATCAAGTCTGTTGGCCTTAAAAGTTTCCAAAAAGAATATACTTTGTGGTTGCAGAGTTAACAGATTAACTAGTCTCAGTATAAATCTACAGACACAGTAGCTACACACAGATAATGATGTACATATACACAATGTACACATGTGCAGGAGTGTCTAGGCTAAATCAGGGCCAGAATCTGTACATGTCTGCCTTCATAACTTCAGAATGGGTCATCTTACAGACATGATAGACATATCAGAGTGATCAGCAGACACTTTCTAGCCAAATTGAAGTCATTGTGTTGTGATCATATGAGTTGTGCATCAGCAAGTAAGCAGTATTGAAAAATTACACTTGCTATTGTGATAGCTCTGTTTTTAGGTTTCATAACACAAAAATCATATATACATGCATATATATCAGAACACTCAGCATGACTCACATTCTCTAGCCAGAGTGATTTCACTTAGGAGCAGAAAAAGTGTTAGCCAGTAATCCATCTTGAAAAACCACCTACATTTTTTTAAGGAGTACCTTAAAAATGGCCAGTGAGTGCATATGTAGAGTATATGTGAACGAGAGAGACAGCAAATGCATGAACATCTGAACCCTACTGCTCAATGCTAAATATATTTAGCTCTTAACAGAAGTGGAGGTCCCAGGTCAATTTCTTTGAATTTTGCAGCTTGTGAATGTGAATTCTTCATTACAACATATAAAATGAAGAAAAAAGTAACAAACATTAGTAATAAACACTCATCTGAAAAATTGAGAATAATCCTGAATGAATAGTATGAAAAACAGAGATAATAAGAAAAATAAATCTACAAAGCAACAACAAGAAAAAAGAGGTATAACCCTGAAAGCCCTGTTGCTTGCATACAACAGTTTTGAAAAGTCAGATGAGCCACTGTTTTAGATGCATGATAAAATACATAATATTAGCAGTGTTGTGTGTTAAAAGATGTAATAAAATATGTGAGAAAATATTTACTAATATTACAAAGGGCAGTACTATAAATTAAACAATAAATGAAAGTACCTGGTATGAGCTGTAAGTCCTGATTGGTCAAGGACCAGAAACAGCAGATGGATAGCTGTAGGAAAACAAAACATTGGGTAAAGATTTAAAATATTAACTTCAACAATTGAAACAAATACAATCACATTTCTATTGACTAACTAATTTTTATTGACTAAGACACTCAAGCCTCTCAAAACCAGTAAACATGTTGCTTCCATTGCTGTGAAATACTTTTTTGTTCCTGGCCTTTTCTCGAATTAGGTGCTCATTGAGGATCATGGCGAACAAGGCACACAACATCTTACTTGTTGTGAAAGACAAGTTTTAATAGTTAAAGGAAAAGCAGAAATACTCTTGGTTAAATAGTACTTGTACAAAGGTATTTGGTCCACATTTGTACTGGAGTGCTTGCTTTTACATCACATAAGTATTAGAAGTAAAAGTACTGTAAATTATTACAGAAAATATGTAATTTTGATGAATACTTCTTTTAAGGAAACTCACATGGCTACAGTCATGAACAGTTCACTCTCTCACAATGTTTACAGCCACAAAGTCCTCCTTAAGCGAAAAGTATTCATCAAACAATATAACTGCAATAACTCTCAATACTTTTACCTATGATACTTTGGTAAAGTGCCATTTAAAGTCAACCTGAAACGTGGAACTTCATCTTTGTTAGTTCATGTTTCTTTTACCTTGCAACTCATTACATATAAAGGACAGAATTCTTGTCCTACCATACTTTCAATAAAAATGTTATGACTAAATAAATAAATTAAATTAAAAATACCAAATGATATTGTTTCAATCCATTATGATTTCTAAATAATTTTCTGACTGACCCTCAAGCAAGAACTTTTGTAAGTAAAAACATGAATAGAATATTTTTACTCAAGTAAATATAATAAGTATAAATTTACATTTTATAAAGTAAATTTCTACTTTTACTCAAATTCAGAAGTTTTGTACTTTTGAAATAGACCTTTGCATACACCCTCCACCCCCACCTCCAATGGAGAAAACATTTAAAAATGCTACAAACCTCTTTCCCAGCGGTTATTACAGTCCATCCATAGTCAATCATGAGAGAGGGAAACATAGATATACTCATAATGATGTTGTCTTAAAATTTAAAATATGGACTTCAATCAAAGACAGACATCTTTTTCTTTATTGATTACACTGATAGAAACATGAGCAAAAACAATCCAGCAACAGAAAGAGAACAAAAGGAATAAAAGTTGCTTTCCCTCCTGAGAATTTGATGGTGGTAGATTTAGAAACAAGTAGGTGAATGCAAAAAAAGAAGATTAAGCCTGAAAGCAAAGAAGAGAGAATGAAGATTTTAAACATGTACAATTTTGTGGCAGCTAGGACTAAATCACAGCTCAGTTGAAATTACTAACTTACTATTTTAACTGTAACTCCAGCACCAGTCACTTTACTTCACTCAGTCAGATTTGTTTTTATCCTCTAAACTCGTGTGAGGGAAGCATCAAAACTGGTCTGTGGTGTGTGAAGCCATTAGCCTGCTATTAGCCTCCCTAGCCTACCATAGCAGATAATACTAACTAACTAACTATGGCTACGTTTACACAGCAGGTAAAAGTGGCCCAAATCCGATCTTTTTCCTCAAATGTGACACAGATGTGTCATCTGTGTGGCAGTCTGAACAGCAAAGAACGCATTGAATCTGACATTTGCAATTCCGATTTGAGACGCTTTCATATATGGTACTGAAATCCAATAGGATTCCGATCTGCGGCAATGCGACTCAGTCTGAACAGCCAGATCGGAATTCATGCGACTTTTACGTCAGTCCAACTCGACATTCGTCATAATTTCGCGCTGCTGAGACTCATAAACATTTAGCCTGATGTTTCTGTATCAAAAAATTAGACGAGACTCATCAAACCGCTCCGTGTTCGAAGAGGTTTCAAACGAACCGGCCGAGCGCGGCCGGAGGAGCCCGAGGCTGCAGCGTCAGAGAACAGTTTAAAGAATCTGAGAACACGAACCAAAGAAGTGGCCGAATAACGAGCCCTTTTTTACGGCGAACGCATTGTGGGTGATGAGTCCAGCTGTCAGTCATTGGAACTTTATACTCGCTCCTGTGATGCTGGCGAAGACGAAACTGAAAGCTCCGGGAGTGACTGGTGTTCGCTGGCCGTCATGATTGTTTACCCTTGGATGAGCCGCCACATGAAGCGTTGTTCTTTTGTGCATGCGGGTCGGATAAGGAGCGTGATCTGTTCAGACTGATGTCGCATACAGGTCACATTTAAAAGATAATGTGAACAGCTGAACAAAACAATCGGATTTGATGAGAAAATCAGATTTGGGCCACTTTTACCTGCTGTGTAAACGTAGCCTAACTAACTAACTGTTAGTAAGTAATGCTTATTTTTGTTTTAACACATGAGGAGATCAACTTTAATAAATTATGGATTTAGGTTTGAGTAAATGTCCAATTAAAAACTGTTGGTACATCAAATACAACACTCATTACTCACCAACTGTTTTTTGAGGCCTTCTGAAGTTTCCAGAAGCAGCTCTAAATACATACTTCTTGCTTCCATGGTGGAGAGTTATGATGGCTTAGACCTTAGTATGGGTGGGATCACCATAACTCAGTACAAGTGGAATCTGCCCACCTCTGTACAGGTGGAATCTGCCCACATTAGTACAGGTGTAATCTGCCCACCTCAGTACACGTGGAATCTGCCCATCTCAGTACACATGTAAACTGCCCACCTCAGTACACGTGGAATCTGCCCACATCTGTATGGGTGGAATCTGCCCAACTCAGTATAGGTGGAATCTGCCCACCTCAGTACAGGTGGAATCTGCCCACCTCAGTACAGGTGAAGTCTGCCCACCTCTGTACAGGTGGAATCCGCCCACCTCAGTACAGGTGGAATCTGCCCAAAAATATAAAATTGTCTCTATGTGTCGTTTTGTACATTTGGGTTTGATTTGCTTGTTTGTTATGCATGCACAGCACATGTAAAATGTTAATTCAGCTTGAAACTGTCAGTTCAGGCAGAGTGTCTGCTGTAAGGTGTCATGAACTCAGTGCATTAGACTCCCTGCTAAAAGGTCTATGCTGATCTATGCTGGTCCAGTGCTGGTTTAGTTGGTCATCCAGCAAGTTCATGCTGAATGACAAGCATATCAGTATCCAAACCTTTTGCTGGCAGGGCTCATGGCTCAGTTTAACAATAATACATGACCTTTTAATAAATACCATTCAGTTTTGTCTTTCAATTTTTAACGGTTTTAAGCCTAATAAACAGCTGATAATAATTATTAGTCACATGTCTGTCAATTATGATAGTCAAATGTCTGTCAATAAAAAATATTTTTATATAAAAAAAAAACTGTGCATCTTGCTCTGTACAAAACAGCCCAAGGCCTGCCTTATTAGATATCAAATTTTAGCACTCAGCACGGATCCAAGAGAACAGAAACTTAATAAATACATGGTCACCTAATGCTGATAATTTAGTTTTACTAAATAATAAATAACATAATAAACCAGTATCAAATTAATTGCATTTTTAGTTCACAAACACTCTAGTCTTACAATTAATGAAAAAGTATTTGAACTGCTTTCACGGTCTGCATTTTATATGCAAAATTAAAAAAAAAACAAAAACAAAAAAGAAATAGCAGGTGCAAAGTAAATTATTTATCAAAAATGGCCAAATGCATAAAACTTTTTAATCTATATAGATTTGTTTGTAATGTCTCTGTTTCCACAGCAGACTCTCCAGGAAACATGACGTTTGACCCCTGCATTGTCTACAGTGTTCTAGATAATGAGTGGCGAAGAACAGACAGCATGTTTTACACCAACTATGGTCATTACGATGATACTCTTGTTAAATGGAGTGGCTGGTATCGTCTGATTCTTCAGGGAAGAAGTGCTCAGATTCCTGAATCATATTCTTGTGTGAGTTTCATGTCATGTGGTGGTTACACACCACTTTTGCTTGGAGGATCTCATCCACAACTACAGGATGACATTGTCACCCGAGACATCTATGGCTATGTGACTGACAGCAGACAATGCAATTCCTACAGATCAAACCCAATCCAAGTCAAAGCCTGTCCAGGAAATTACTATGTCTACAAACTTGTTAAGCCAGCTGTGTCACTTCCAATACCCACATACTGTGCAGGTAAAGTTTCTGTTTCCTATTTTGGGCCAGATTCACAAAACTTGGCAGTAACAGTGCTATATCAAGCAAAACGTGCAGCACGGTAAACAAGATCTATTCTTAAAGTCACTGTGGTGGTGATTGTCACACTGGTGTCTTTTTCATACTATGCTATTTTCAATTGTTTCCTAGGCCAGAACAAATCAAAATCCACATTTTCAGTCAAACATATTAAAAATCCACAAAGTGAAGCTCTGCCGAAATTGATATAATTAAAGAAATGAAAACAAAGAAAGAGAGAAGAACACAATTCTCAGAAACAGAGCTACAAATTTTAAAGCAAGGCATGCCAGAAAATCTATTAAAAAATACTAAAAATCGAATTATAACACTTTAAAATTCAATGTTTAATTGTATGAAATTATATTTTAGCATGTTAAATTTCATTTCTCAAAGGAAAGAATTCAAACAATTTTTACAATTCTTTATAATTGCAGTATTATTCTTTGTACCAGTATGAGTTAAAGTTTAACATTTGGTATTTTTTATTACACTGGAAAACTGATAAGCTGTAATTTCCAATGAAAATTTTAGTTTTTATTTTCCTCAATTTTCTTGAGTTTTCCTCGATCTCAGGAATTCAATTTACACGTGTAAAAAATTTCATTTTAATTTGTCAAAAAATGCCAATTGATTAAAAGCTAAAACTACTTGCAATAAAATCTATTTTACATTTAATTAGAATCACAATGTCAAATTACTCTTTATTTATTTAGATTCCAATTTAAACCTACTTTTCACACACAGGAGGCAGATTCACAAAACATTTAAGTTGATGCAGGAAGAACAGTTTAAGTTCAATGCCAGTGAAATCTTCAAATCTGAAATCCCACTCAAACAAGTTTGCTTCCCTATTCATGTACTCCTACAGCAATAGTGATGAGGTTTAGTGGGTAAATTACCATCAGAGTGATTCAGGCATTATTTTGTGTGGGATTGTGTCATGTTATGAATCACTTCTCGCGCATATAAATGGGAAATATGGCAATACCTCACATCATGCAAGCTGTACAAAAGCCATAATCTTTGTTTATGAATGAGCAAATGTGTTATGACCATACTCTTAATGGTACAGTAATTCTTGTGGTGCATTTCATGAATCTGCCTCTATGCCTTTTCACAAGTATTTGCTAACTGACATGATTAGCATTTAATGACTAATTTTACATGTATGAATGTACCTTTTCCCTTACTCAACTTTGTACTTACTGTTTTACAGTGTTATATTTTGACATTATTATGTGTTATCATTATTATTATGTATTATGTTGACAGTTGTGTTGGAGACTCTCAGTTATGATCCCTGTAATAACTACATTTCTCTGGATCAACCCTGGAGAGGCACTAATGAGACTGGAGAGTTCAACTGTGATGATGACTATAACTGGAATGGCTGGTATCGGCTGCTGTATAATGGGATTAGTGTCCATATGCCAGAAAGCTGTGTTGATGTATTCAGATGTGGTACTTATATCACTCTGTGGCTGAATGGGTCTCACCCTCAGATAGAGGATGGAATAGTCACTCGTGCAGTCTGTGGAAATGTAGGCTGGGAGGACTGCTGTAATCTGAGATCTACTCCAATTCGAGTCAAAGCATGTCCAGGAAACTATTATGTCTATGAGTTTGTCAAGCCATACTTCTGCGCTGCTTACTGTGCAGGTACTATTTTTGTATTTTTCAGAGTTTTTACACTGTACCTGATAGTAACAGGAATGTCTGTGGGATTTTTAAGAGTAAACGATTATTGAGATGATTCGCAATTATTTTATTTCACTTTTCACAATTATTTTAACTTTTTTTAAATATTTCAGCTCTTTATTTCAGAGGAGCTAATGACAGAGGTGTTCTTGTTGGTTTGTCTGATATGACCTTAGCTTGTCGCATTTTAGAGACAATAAAAGTCATCAGCAATGATATCCAATTTGGAACTAAATTCTAAATTGGAGTATGTATTTGTAATATTGTGATCTATAAATATTCTCATAAACAGTCAAAATGTTGAATAACAAAAATTTCTGCTTGCTTAAGTCTTAATGATTACCTCAACTTATTTGAGAGATTTACTTGTGGAATTACACCACGCAGAAATGCTTGGTGTATAAAAAGAGGGAAATTCATTCATAGAATAACCTTCCACTCTGTGGTGTATTGTGGTAAATGACTGTTGGATATACAGAATCATAAACAAGTTTTAGGACTATTAAAGTAAAATCTGCCTGGCTCTTTAGGAGTGGTCTCAGATCCACTGCCATTTATTCTATGCTTATGTTTTTGTGTCAAACTAATAAAAACATGGATCTTAAAGTGCCTCCTTTTTTCTTCACTTTTCCCCTTCAGATCAAAATTTCACTATGTTTGCAGAATGCAAGGTTTGTTACGATTTCATTACATATGGGGTATAGTAATTATGATATTTGATGTCTGTAGAATGTTGAAGATAGATAACAATCAACTGTAGCTATTCTGAGTTTAATGCACTTTTTGTTTTAGGAAAATTTCACCCAAAATTGTGCAAACGATCTGTTTGATCAAATCAACAACAGCAGTAATCTAGTGCTTCCAAAAGAAGTAAGTACTACAAAAACATAGTGACTGAAGAAATACTTGAAATGAGATCACATGCATGTGTGTTTACTTTATGTATTTATTTATGCATACTGATGTTTGTAATTGTCTCTCTGGTTATTTAATCAGATGGTAGAGTTGGCACTCGAGCACACTCTGAAAAATCAGCTTGTAGCCTTTGGGAATGAAATTCTAAACAAGACTGAGTCATTGGTGTCTACACTGGTGAACCGTCAACAAGGAAACTACTCAGTTAACATCTCTGTCAGTGGCTTAGGTAAATGGGTATATAATTGACTCATTTGTGGAAGATTCTTTATGAAATAAGATTCTATTTGTGTTGAGTGCACTTTTAAGACAGTGAGGATCAAAGATTTCACATTAAACATAGCAAAATTCTTATGAAGCACAATTAGCTTTCAAATCTGAAATTCATTGCCTTTTTTTGGACATACTCTTTTATTGAAATCTTTGTAAAACCAACTCAAACTGGAATGGAAAAGTCAGCAGACTGCTTCAGATAGAGACTCTCTGCATCAAATGTATTAGGACAAAACTCATTTCAACCAAAACATTGAACATGAACATGATGGGAATAAAAAAAAATAAAATAAAAAAAATAAAAAAACGTATTGTGTAGAGAAGTAAAAAAGAACCCTTTTTATTTGATTTAAAATTGAAAACGCTAGTGATACGTGGCATTTGTTATTGCTTTTTAACTTTATATTTTTCAGATGTTCAAGTCCTTGCAGTTGGATCAAATATCTCATTGAAAGAATTATCTACACCCATAAACAAGACTCAGAGGGATAACAACCCTAATCTGATTTTAAAGGACTACAGTGGTATTGTAGCGATCTTTGAAAGCTTGTGCTCTTACTATATCAGTGTCAGAATTTGGTACTATGGGGATGGTGTACATTTACTGTACTGTGTACATGTATCTAAAAAGGACTGAGTATTATTAATTACATGTATGTAATTTTGACAAATATAGATCGAACCATATCATATCAGTTTCTGTCCCTGCATCAAAATTATTAGGAAAAAACTCTATTATTTCAACAAATATTAATAGCTTGAACATATCACTTTAAACATTTCGGTAATACTTTCTATGAATGTCACCTTTGTAAGCATCTATAAACACATTCATAACATGTTATAATGCATTCATAAGACATTATAAACATAGCTATAAATATTTATAAAAATGCATTATACATTATAGCCATGTTTATTATGCATTATGAATTGTTAACATAATACATTATAAGTACTGATCATAACAAATTATAAGAGCTCATAAGTAATATTTGTCCACTCTAAGTAAAGTGAAGCGTACTGTACTAAAGCCTCCTCCAGTGTTAAGAGTGAGGCTTCAAGTTGAAGTATTTACTGAAGGATTTACTGAAACACTAAAACATACATAATAAAGCACATTACAGGCTTCAAATGTCAGAGTTTAAACTAGTGCTGCCAGCAGTGTTTTACCCAATGTGGGAAAGTCAATGTACACCACCGTTAGCTTGGTATTTGTTTTTACTTTATGCTCTCCAAGCTGGGACTGACTTCTTTGGCACTGGCATTATAACATGTTATTAACACTGCTTATAATGCATTATATAAACAATTCATAATGTATAATAAACATGGCTATAAAGTGTAATTCAGTGTAATTCTTTTTATAAATATTTATAACCATTTTTATAATGCCTTATGAATACATTATAACATGTTATAAATGTGTTTATAGATGCTTACAAATGTGACATTCATAGAAAGTGTTACCAAAATTTCTTCTTATTGCTTAGAAAACTTTCTCTAACTTAGATGAACTTAGAAAAACCCTTCTTATTTCATTTAACATCCAAAACACTGCTGTTGCATGGCACCTTTTTTGCTTTGAAACTTTCTTTGAATCTTTAAAATCTTCATGTCTTTGCAGTTAAACCAAATGTCTCCTCAAGGAATATCCCTCAGCTCAGCATAAACGATGCTCAGATGGATATCGACCTCACCCAGATTTCAAGGAATAACAATGGTATTGTAGCAATCTTTGAATGTTTGTACTCATCTGCTAACAGAGTTGGTCTAATGTATTCAATCCAGGGTCAGTTCTAAAGATAAATGCAAGCCATGAACTGCAAGTCTTTTTCAACCCTCACAATAGAACAGAGACATTATGGAAATAGGTGCTGTAGAATAATGAAGTATAAATTGACTTTCATGTCACAAAAAAGTAAAGATGAAAAACAGACCAATAGTTCATGAAAACTTAAGCTGTCCAAATTTCTTCAAAATTCATTCTTAATAATTGATAAAAATGTATTTAATCAGTTGGACTCCAATTTTTCTCGCTGATTCCTTTACATTTAGATGCTGTTTGTTCAGTAGATTTTTGTTGTTGTTCTTCAGGATCAGCAGCTGTGGCCTTCATGAGCTTCACTGACCTGTCAAGTGTGCTAGAACCCGGCCTGTTCAACCAAACTAACAACACACAGAAAACCATGATGTCCACCGTGATATCAGCCACACTGCCCAGAACTACCAACCAAACACTCATCACACCAGTCAACTTCACTATGAAACACACTGCAGTGAGTTTATTCAATCGCAATCTTGCTTAATCTCTAATCAGAGTAATTAATTTAAATAAGTTTTATATGGTATTACTTCATTTCTGTTTTATTTATTTCGAAGTCTGCAAAATGCTGCTCAGTTGTATTTAATTTACAATGAGATATTGTAGTTTTAGTTTTTGTGGTAATATACTTTTATTTTATTTTGTTTTTTTTTAGTTTTATTTTTACACAAAGCCTTTACCGAAGGTGCAGCATAATTTATTATTTCAATCTGGCCATTCTTTAACTAGAATTAAAAGTGTAGAATGTACAGTAAGAATATGCAATAACTTAAGTGGCCAGTGAGGAGGACTGATTTTGTGTCTGGTTATGTGACACTTCCATCTATTTTTTATTTCTCTTGTTCAAGGTGTTTTGTCAAGCCTCTATGCATATACACAAATAGGCAAAGTTTATTAGCTGTGGGTGATCAAGCACCTGCACCTTTGCCCCTCTGTCTGCGTAGTGCCCTTTGTTTTTAACCAGAAAAGAGGTTATGATGAATGTGATTACAGTCTGATAACAGAATTTAATATTAACATCTTTATAAAATTTACATTGTTCTCCCCACACAATGAGGTTCCACTCAGCTCATCTACCCTGTGAGGTCCACTGCTACAAAAGTCCTGGAGCCAGGAGTTCCTGGTGTTGTCAGCCAGCCTTCAACATAAAAATCAATAGTTCCTGTTTTCCCTTCACTCCTAAGCATTAGAGACTGGGATCACATCAACATCACCTCTCCTCTCCACTGCCTTACCTTTCTCCCAGACCCCTGGAGAATTCAGGTCAGGCTGGGGAGACAAAACTGTTAATTACTTACATTTGGTTAATATCTCCTTCCCTTGTACCTCAGCTCCATATCTCTACACTTGAATTCTATGCTGTCACAGTATCCAAACCTTGTACACTGTACATCAATGTGATCTATTGTCCTTCGGCTTATTTAGGCAACTTTGCTGAAGAACTTGATTCCTTCTTTTATTCATTTCCTAAAGACAACTGTCCTCTCCTGCTTGGGGACCTCAATCTCCTCAATAACTTCACTTTGAATTCAAATATTTTCTCAAATCCACAATTGTTGGTAACCCTTCATTTAATACTTTGTGCAGCCTCCCTTTGCAAAGATAACAGCTCCGACTCTTCTCCTGTAATGCTTACTGAGTTTGTAAAACACATTGCAAGGGACTGGAGATCACTCTGCTTTACAGAAACTCTCCAGATCCTTCAGATTATGGGGTCCACACTTGTGAACTCTCCTCTTCAGCTCATCCCACAGGTCTTCTATGTGGTTTAGGTCAGGGGACTGGGATGGCCATGGCAAAACTTTGATTCTGTGGTCAGAGAATCATTTTATGTTGATTTAGAGGTTTGCTTTGGATCATTGCTTTGCTGAAAGATCCAACCACAGCCCAACCACAGCTTCCTGGCTAAGGCAGTCTGGTTTTGATTTAATATCTGCTGGTACTTGAGGGAGTCCATGACAGCATGTATCCAAACAAGTTGTCCAGGGAAGAAGAACAGCCCCACAATAACAGCAGGGATAAAGTACTTTTCTGAATTGCTATCTTAGTGTTTATGTCAAGCTTACTTCGGGTGTTTGTTGCTACAAAGCTCTTTTTTGGTCTCAACTGACTATAGACCACAGTCCCACTGAAAGTTCCAGTAACATCTGGTGAACAGTAGGTGCTTGAGTTTGTTAACAGAGGCCTTTTCTGGCAACCCATCCAAACCACTTGTGGTTGTGAAGGTGGCATCTGATTGTAGCTTGGGAGACATAGCTACAGTCAGATGCCACCTTTGACCCCAAGACACAGCTAATGTCTGCAATTCCCTGTGATCCTTGGTGAATTTATGGCCACCATCCTCCTTACTGTGCTTGAAGTCAGTATAGACGTGTCCTCTTCCTTGCAAATTCTTAACTTGTCCAGTGGGTTTAAACTTATTATTGCACTGATAGTGGAAATGGGCATTTTCAAATGTTTAGCTATTTTTTTGAAGTCATTTCCTGATTCATGTAGCTCAGCAAATATTTTGTGGTATGTCATTGCTGTATTCTCTGGCCTTTCTCATATTTATGGATGACTGAGGGAACTTGGCTTGTGTATCACTTTCTATTTATACTACAGTGAAACAGGAAGTAATGACTAACAATGTAAGTGTTCTTAATCGTTTAGGTAAACATTAAAACAAAATATAAATGGGAATACACTTCTGTTAGCATTTACTCCTAAGAATTCCTAGGAGTGTCAATAATTGTGGAAAAATTCCATTACAAGGTTTAGTTTTTTTTTTCTTTCAATCATTATAGTTCCAATAAAGGTTTGATTTTTCTTAATATTTTGAATGAAAATCAAATGGAAAAGCAATAAAGAATGTCTTTTTACAGTCCATTTTTCTCATGTTTGCTAGGGGTGCCAATATATGTGGATGGCTCTCACCTTTAATACAATTTGCTTAATTTACTGCCTTATACTTCTTACCTGTATACTTATCAAATTAAAATAGTATTCAATCAAGTTATATTTATAATGTTTGTCAGGAAATAAGGCAGAAAAGTAGTAGTCTGTGCACCTTTAGTTTAGTAGTTTTTGCTCTGATTCCCATGCTCAGAGCTGGGTAAATAGCTCTCTGTCTCTTATTGTTTGTTAGTTAGGCCATGCTTTGCAATTTGTTTAGCAATAGGATGTGTTCCATGCCATTTCAGTATATTTTCTAGTTGTTGCAGCTAAAGTTTATTATTATATCAAAGATTATCCATTCTGTATTCTAGACTCAAGGGAAATCTGCAACTGAGCAATCATCAAATAAATATAATAATACATTTTGATAATTCAATCATGTCATTTGTCATGTTTTTGTAAGATTCCATGTTATGTTTTGCTTAAGTAATAGTGTAACATGACCAGTAGCTATTCTTCATGGGGATCAAACCCGTGATCTTTTAATCCATGGATGGGAGCACTAATGGAAAGCCACTAGCCAGACTTGAGAGGAGAAACTAAAGTGCAGAGCAATAGAAACTTGAGATGACAACAAACACAAAAATACTCAAATGTAAGCGAGGGAGGAAAAGGCTTTGATGCCAACCAAAACACAAAGGAAACTAGAGACTCAAGAAC